CCCGAGGTTAAGCGACATAATTCAAAAGCGCTGCTAGACAATCTCTGAGATGTGTATTCCTATCGAATAATCCTATATTTGAAAAAATATACGGATAGTAGGACGTTCACTAAGAGGAAATGGACACTTCTTTTAGAAAAGGTATTGAAAGCAACTATCATGAATACAGAGTGCGTAGTACAATTTAATTCTGGTTTATAAGTGATTCGCTTAATAACAAACGATAAGGATTTCCGACTCACCAGACACGTCTCACAATGTAAGATATAATTATAAATGCTGAATACTTATAATTCTCCATGGATAGTAAAACTGATGTGGCAAGAACAATTTCATCCATAAAAATTTTTAAAGTGAATACTTCAGTACAGTAAAAACTTGTCTTTGGCGCCCATATTCCTGCTCAGAATTGCAGGGAGCTTTTTCTACATTTAACGAGTAGTTTACGTTTAGGACCAATTGAGCTGATGTTCGCAAGTGTTAGTAATGTAAATAACACGGACACCGATGAGAGCAAAACACTCACGAGGGAACCTTTACAGGTGTCCGACCGCTTTTCTAACGAAATGCAGTAGTTTATATGTAATCGACCATGCTGATTCCGAATATGATAGCCGTTTTTGCCCATAGGCCTTTCCTAACAGATTTCTGAATAACAAGTTTTCCAGACACCTCAATAAATCCTCAAGAGTTTTGCTAAATAAGTCACAAGTGTAGCCCACGAAATTCTAATTAAAATGAGACATCTGCCAGCTCTGCACAACCTTTCTTTGCAAAGTTGTAGAATTCACAGGAAAAGCCCTAAATTCATCTTTCCTCCTTCTTTCTGTAGCTCTGAGGTGACAATAAACATTTAGGTTTTTTTTGAATTCTATAGCTTTGCAAAGAAACTTCGTGTGGAGCTGGGAGATGTCTCATTTTAATTAGAATTTCGCAAGCTACAGTTCTGACTTATTTAGAAAAACTCTTGGGGATTTTTTGAGGTTTCTGCAAAACTGATTTTCCAGAAACCGCTTAGAAAAGGCTTATGGGTAAAAACGGCTACCGTATTCGGAATCAGCATGGTCGATTACCTACAAACTACCGTATTTCGTTAGAAAAGCAGTCGGTCACCTATAAAGGTTCCTTCGTCAGATATGAAATGTCAGAAACACCGACAGCTATCTGGCTAATTCTTTCGCTCTTTTACTTAGATTTCATGCCTCTATATTTTCATCTACGGTAGTCAAGGATTCTATTTGAGTTTGAGAGGAAAATCCAAAAAGTACCCTTGAAACTTCGGACCTCCGAAAAATCATGTTCCACATGTTTTTTTGAAAAACAAGCCTAATGTTCTCGAGCCAACTTTTCATGCTCTACTCGATGCACATATTAAATCTTCGCGGTCTAGTGTTCTGTATAAAGTGGGCGGACCTGAATGGAAGCACCCACGTACAAATAACGTTTTCTAAAATAAAGTTTAGATTGCGAGGCATTTTTTCGTGGGATGATAGAAGAAAGTATGCTCGTCAAAATGAGATGTTTTCCAGAATTTTCCGAGGAGTTTTCTTGAAGATATAAGCATAGCCGCAAATGCCCTAAAACACAGAGCCCTGTGTTCAATATATATTTTTCTCACTATGCGTTTTTTCAATAGTCCCTTCAATCCAACCACATTACGATCCCCCCGAAAAAATGGTACGATCGAGCTCAAAATTCTATCACAGATACTTCAGACTCTATCTCAGGTTCGCTCTTTTTTTTAGAGCGTTTTTGATTTCAACTTTCAGTGTGACAAGGTTTTCAGAATGAAACACCGTTTTTTTTATATGGGATTTTCAGTATTTTTCGAATATCTCGAGAAGGAAAGAATATTTTTCGAAAAGAAAAAAAACGAACCTGGATACGGTCTGAAGTATCCGTAGTAAAATTTTGAGCTCGATCGAACCATTTTTTCAAGGGCTCGTAACGAATGCCAAAGAAAACTCATAGAAGAACACGTCAGAAAATTCTGGGCAAAAATACATCAATTATCTTTTTCCGATATTCTATCTCTGGTATACATTTGAACCCAATCCGACATTGGCTTCCCGGTTTCCAAGAGGATAAAAGAAGAGGGAGCGGGGTATCCTTAATAGCTCTGTTTGTGTAATTTTTGTCGGTTTGAGTTGCTTACCTTTTTTCCAAATGAGCTCTGGTGCTAATTTTATTGCTTCAGTTAGTGGTATGCCTGGAACAATTTGTGATAGAACCGAAAATGTAAATTACGGGTAGCTAATATTTTTAGCTGCTACCAAATAATGAGTTTTTAGCTTCCATTTTGATATGTGACCAGATGAAAAAAATGAGCTTATCTCATGCAGTTTATCGTATTTTATCAGTATCAGTCCATTAGGTGGAAAAGATACACCGATCTTTTTGCATGTGGATCGGCCATTGAAATTCGTAGATCTTTTTTATTCGTCCTATCGTTTAAGTTGAATGAACTCTTGAATGCAAACAGTAGCAACATGAGAAAGCGATTAATAACCGCAGGAATCCTGATTTTGCTGACGTATTAGTATGTTAATATCAGAGTATCCTACGTAATACTTTACACCACGTGGCAACTATTGTGTTCATTCAAGCAGAACGAGATGTTTTTTTTCTCGTGCTCGTTCTTAAATATCGTTGCTATATCATATGTGAGAAGTATATCTCTTTCGTCAAACGATGGAAGCGGTTATTGTTTTTTTTTCTTACTTTGTACTTTTGGTATTCAGACATTGTGCAGGCATCCACCGATTTCGGTTTTTAATTGGTTATCCGAAACTGCTATAACCGAAACCGATCATAATCGATAGCCGAAAATATTTTTATTTGTATAGATTCTTTCAAATGCATGAAAACAGCTTAAGAGTGACACGATGTATAATCAAAAGAAATCGAAACGAATCTATTAATGATCAAACTCAAAATATTATTGAATCTACTCAGTGTACGGTCAAAACACGTCCACCTTCATCGCAAGATTTTTACATAGACAAGCTCTTCGCCTCAAGCCCTAGAAGTCACCAAAAGCTCTTATTTTACAACTGCTTTTTATGGATCAGCTAATGATGCTAATATCTGTCTTTGTTGCTGATCATTATCAACATGTGGTCGTTTTCCATGTGCTGTTTGAAAATTATCAATCCACAATAAGTCACCTTGTTTCCAATCTAAATTATGTGCACATGACCATGTTATATCATTGATATGTTTCAATTCATCATACGAAATAATTTCATCTGTATTTCCATAATAACAACCTTGTGGATAATACTGAAATAATTCTTCGTACGGATGATGAATAGTTAAGTGTAAATTTTCATTGATTGCTTTCACGTCAACAGCAATCCGTGGATCCCATCCTTGCACTTGATTAAACCAAATCTTTTCATTTGGTCTTGTAGCTGGTAAAGATTTCGTTCTAATGTACATATCACCATTTGGATACCATCGGATATCTTCATATCCTACTTGTCGCGCTAAGTGCTCAGCTTCCTTACTGTTTTGAACATTAAATGCCAGTTGCCATGTTTTTGCCAGTTGATGGTTTTGTGGATCAATTTCCGCGAGACGTTTTTCATCAATAAACATTCGGGAATATTTAACATTACGATCCTCCAACTGTTTAGTGATAGTTGGATCAATTTTTGAATAAATTTCTCTTGAATCAGCTATAGCGGTTTCACCACCTATTGCTGAGGGTTGCACACAAAAGAAAAATATATATTTTGGTGGTGTTAAGGTATATGTTAGCTCATTATGTATAAATAAACGGGCATTCGCTGGATAAGCTGTACTTGTAAAGGCGTGCTCATAAACTTTTTTCCGACCTGGAGAGCCACCACCTACAATAAAAAAAAATACTATAGTTTGAGCAAGCCGAATAATATTTTATAAACTTTTAATTATAAACCTAAGATTCTACCACAAATACTCTTCAAGCGCATTATTTGAGGAGTACATAGCCCGACGATAACAATCCATCCATCACGATACATACAGCATGTACAGAGCGCTCTTAATATACTGACGCCTGTCAAAGTTCGTGTAAGACGGTCTGATCATTATAATCGGATCCGTGCACCTGCCGGCTAACCAATGTAGTACAATGTATCATTGTGTAAAAACATATAAAATAGTTCTCATGCTGATGGATTACTCAAACTATCTGCTACGAATTGCTATTATTGATGTGGCAATAACGTAGGTAGAATTAAGTCGAAAAAAACTCAAGACAGAGGATCCGACTTAAAAAATAAGGATCCGTTAGATAGCTCTCGTCGTGTACAATGTACAGTGGCAATCGCAATCTTTGCAATAGAATTTCTTTTTCTAAAGGTCATGCTCACTCACTCAAATCATATGTTATAGAAATACAAAGATATAGTTTAGCTAGGTATTATCCATTTGAACAGTTACAGTTATAGATGAAAAGCAGAAGTTTAACTCTCAAATTGAATTTTTTCAACTAGTCATGGATCATATTAAGTTACGTACGTCTCTGCAGTTTTCTGACCATCAAACATATTCTGAAAATATTGTAAACAACTTAATTAGAACGCCGGGTGCATAAAGAAAAGGTTAGAAAAACCAATGAATTTCTAAGAGAAGTGTAATTATTGTCCGTTAAAAATAAATGGACGTGGTTATTTTTTCAATAACTTTTGATCAGTGTATTTTGAAGGCTTCCGGATTCCAGCATTGCGTAGAGAAGATAATTACCTACAAGCTGACATAAAAATATCTTTTAAAATACCACTACAGGTGGAGTAGCTTATTAGTCTCCGAAAAAGAGTGCTGTCTATTGACTAAACTTCATATCTGGGAACTTCTGAAACACATGGATCATAGATTATCGACCACGCGGAATGCTTTTCGGTGCAAATAGTGATCAGTAGATTCTTTCGCCTACTATGGATTTTCACTAGTTTTCTGAAACTTTTCCGAAAGATAAACATCGCTACGAGTTTCAGCGTGGTCGATAATCTATGATCCATGTGTTTCAGAAGTTTCCAGATATGAAGTTTAGTCAATAGGTAGGCCCTCAGAAGAACCCTATAGCGTCTGCAGCGCGGCAGATGGAGTTATATCGTTCAGAGCATAACTCTTGGAAACGGACTGACAGTGTATATTTTATGTTAAAATTCCTTGAAAAGGTCCACGATGGATCACTTAAATTATTCGTTACGAAACCGGCATTGGGATTAAAAAAGTTAGCGACAAAAGAACAATATTCTATGGTAGCAGATGAATGATTTGCATGATTGCGCGGCATAAGTTGGCAACACTCCCTTTCAGAGACTAATAAGGTACTCCACCTGTAGTGGTATTTTATAACATATTTTTATGCCATCTTGTAGGTAATTATATTCTCTACGCAATGCTGAAAACCGAAAGTCTTCAAAATGCGTTGATCAAAAGTTATTGAAGAATAACCATGTCCATTTTTTTTTAAACAGACAATAGCAGGACAATGAGAATGACTGGTTCGAAGTTGAAAGCGACTTTTACCATTTCTTTTGCCGACTAGTGCAGAAAATGAATTTGAGAACTGAACTTCTGCTTTCGGAGCAGTGGTGTTCTAGAAAGCGGTGTTCAAAGACCTAAAAGCACCCTTGACCATCGTGTTCGAAATTAGCAACATCGATAACACATGTCTCCCTGACTTTTATGCAAAGAAACGATTTATAATTTGAGGAACTCTTTCCGTTAGTTTTACAATCACCTCTATCGATAACTGCAAGAAGGGTACGGAATAAGATTTGCATATTACATTAAATTTCATAAAAGAATCGGCCGATTTCTTAGTGCTTCAGCTTTAGTGAGGGTAAAAGTCAAAGAAGCACTCTTAACAACTTGTAAGCGCTTAAAACAATAGTTGAATCAAAATGAAGTAGGCAATAGTGATAGTCAGCACTTAACCGTTACAGGGTAGAGTGAATTGTTACCTGTATACTGTATTTCTGTAAGGTTAATTGATTTGATCAAATTATTAAAGTCATAAATAAGTTGCTGGTTTCCTTTTGTTGACGACGATGCGAAAAAGTTTCGAAAGATTAAAGCACCATTTGTTGATAATAAATCGACTAACAGCTTTTTATTCTGAATAAACCATTCAAATGGGGAAAATTTATCTTTGTGATGAGAATGATGTTCAATAATTAAAAATTTCGATGAATTTTTAAAATAATTAACTGTCAAGTTTTTATATGTTTTACGTAGGTAATTCATCCTTCTGTGTAGTGTGGTAACTATCACTTTGTGAAACGACACGTGTAAGTAAGAAGCAACATAGATCAGTTAAATATATTTATCATTTTTATCTTTTCTGTTCTCTTTTCTGTTCTGTGTAAATTTGTTATGATCCGTAGAAAGGAATCCGAACACGAATATTATATTTACCAGATAGCAGTAGGCAAATAGAAATAGTATATTATTGTTGTAGTTTAGAAAGCATCTACATGTAACAAAATGAGGTCGTGACCAACAAAGACATTCATGATTTGAACAAGGATATGGGTTAGAAGCCTGCATGGACGCTTTTTTTTGTCCATGTCCATCATTTTCGCATTTTTTAGACAAGGTTTTTGCATATAAAAATTGCATTGCTTTTTCTTTGTTCAGCAAAAGAACACATTTTTCTGCTACAAAAAGAAACATACAATTCAAAAAATAATACTTGCTATCCAGCTAGTCATTATTCTTCATTCTTGTCTTCGACCGATTCATCGTCAGTGACTTCGGCTTCTTCGACTTCGATCGCAACTATTTTCATTACTTGAAGATTTTGAACAATTTATCGACCTTTCTTGATTCAAGCCTTGTTCGCTGGTTGTTAATTGTAAAACCAGCATTACTGAGAAGACGCTCGACACCCGTATGTGTAGCAGGAATAGTAAACAGACAGAATTTTTAGGTGTCATACGAGACGTCATCATCATCATTGGTTTTCTGCCGTAGGGCAGGTTTCAGGCATATAATTTCTCCAATATAATCGATCTTGAGCATATTCTTTCATTACTTTGTAGGCATTTATGTCTCCTTCTTTCAAATCATCAAGCATCATTTTTCTTCCTTGTGGCCGCTTTCCTTCGATTCTACCTTCTATTACATCCAATAAAAGATCATTTCCTCTTAGAATGTGACCAATCCACATTTTCTTTCTTCTCTTTATCACTCCTAGCAATTTTCTCTTTTCTTCCACTTGTACTAGAATTTAATCATTCGTTCTCTTATCTTTCCAACTTATCTTTTCCATTTTTCTCCATATCCACATCTCAAAAGCTTGCAATCGTTTCATCCCGTCTGGCATTATCGTCCAAGTCTCAGAGCCATAAAGTGCTACACTCCACACCACCGCTTTAATAATCTTTTTCTTCAACTTTCTGTCCATTCTTCGCGTGAGTAGTTCTCTGTGTTTACTGAAAGCATCTTTTGCCATTGCAATTCTTGCTCTTATCTCAGCAGCACATCTTCCATCTTCAGTAATTAAGGCTCCCAGATATCTGAATTTTGTCACTTGCTCTACTGTTTGTCCATTAATAATAATGTTAACCAATTTACCACCTTGTCTTGAAATTACCATCGTCTTCGTCTTCTTAACATTAATCTTTATGTCAAACTTCTCACTAGATTTAACAAGTGAGTCCATCAACTTCTGCAAATCTTCGTCTGAGCTGGCTACCATTGCTTGGTCGTCTGCAAACCTTACGTCTTTCAGTAGTTTACCTCCAACTTTGATTCCTGCACTGACATCTTCCATCGCTTCTATCATCATCATTTCAGCGTAGATTGAAAATAGTAACGGCGAAAGCAGGCAGCCTTGTCTTACTCCACGCCCAATTACTGCCGGTTCTGACATTCCGTCTGCCACTCTTACAATAGCTTCTTGATTTAGATACAAATTCTTGATGAGCCTTCGATCTTTCCAATCAACTCCAATCTTCTTCAATATTTCCATCAGTTTCTTCCAGTTTACTCTATCAAAGGCTTTCTCAAAGTCCACGAAACATATAAAAACATCCAAGCCGTGTTCCAAGCATCTCTCGTAGAGCATACGCATGACGCCGATTGCCTCTTTCGTTCCGCATCCTCTTCTGAAACCAAACTGTGTTTTACCACTGAAATATTGTGTTTTGGCTTCCAATCTTTCTGCCAGCACTTTCAGCATTATCTTCGAAGCATGCGGAATCAGACTAAGCGTTCTGTGATCAGCACATTCTGTTGCATTTGGCTTTTTTTCCATCGTGACAATTATTGCTTTGGTGAAATCTCTTGGCCATTCTCCTTTTTCATACATATCCTGACATATTTGTATCAATTCCTTTTTAGCACTACCTTCAAGTTTCTTCAACAGCTCTGTCGGTATTTCATCAATTCCTTAGGCTTTCCTGTCTTTCATTTGACTTATCGCTGCTTCAATTTCGTCTTCCAGAATTCCAGGGCCTACGTTATCTACTTCCACATCCATTTCGCTTTCTAAATCTATCTCTTCCTCCGTGGGCTTACCATCTTGGTCGTACAGCTCTTCAATATACTCTTTCCATCTTTGTCTCACTAACTTCGGATCTGTTAGTAGCGTGCCATCTTTATTCTTTATTGTATGAATATTACTCTGGGCTTTCTTGCTACCTGTCAGCTTCTTCACCATCGAATATACTAAGTCTGCTTTGCCCTGTTTGTTAAGCAACTCAAGTTCATTGCACTCCCTTTTCCACCAATCCTCATTTGCCTTGTCAGTAATCCTCCGGAGCTCATTATTCAATTTTCGATACATTTTTCTTCCATCTTCAGTGTTAATACCTTTCCATTTCCTTCTCTCTTCCATTTTTTCAATCATTTCATCGGTTATCCATGGTTTCTTAATTCTAGTCCTAGGGTCATATCCTATGGTTACTTTTGCACTTTCTATGATACTCTCTTTCAAATAATTCCAGCTTTCATTTATCGATTTCCGTCCCTTCATCTTCTCCATCCTACATTCAATCTCATTCCGAAAACCGCCACTATCATGCTTCAATAGCTCCAGATTCCATTTTCTACGGACCGAGGCCTTTTTGAGTACTTTTAATTTTACTCTTATTCTCATCATAATCAAATTGTGATCTGAGCTAACATCTGCTCCTGGATAACTACATGACTTCCTCACGCTATTGCTGAATCTTTGATTTACCAGAATGTAATCCAATTGGTACCGATCTTTTCCGCTAGGGCTCTTCCACGTGTATCTCCTTCTCTTTTCTTGCATAAGCCAGGTGTTTGTCACCATCAATTTCTTTTCTCTACAGAACTCTACTAGTTTCTCTCCTCTTTCATTTCTCTTTCCCAGTCCAAAATTGCCAACTTCCTTTCCATCAACGCCTTCACCAATTACAGCGTTCCAATCGCCCGTGATTATTAAATAGTCACTGGCTTTTTCTATTGCAACTAGTTCATCAATTTGCTCATAAACTTTATCCACTTCTTCGTCGTCACCTGCTGAAGTAGGCATATAGACTTGTACTATTACGATATCCACTGGTTTCGCCTCTATTTTCACTAGTATGAGTCTGTCACTGTGTTGAACCACTTTATTGACTCGCTTTCCTGTTTTCTCATCTAATATAATAGCCACACCATTTGCACCTCCTTTTGCATTACCACAATGAATGATCCTGTATTTCTCTAACCAGAAATCACCTTGTTCTTTCCATCTCACTTCTGCTAATCCCAGCACATTTAGGTTATTTTTTGCCATCTCTATCTTAACATTTTCAATCTTCTCCTTCTTCAACATTGACATCACATTCCAAGTACCGATCTTCAGCGTTTCGCCGGATGACGACCTTGGAAGCCTTGTTACTTCCACGGCCGGACGCGACATCTCTGGTTGAACCAGAGGTCCCGTTAACGTCGTTAGCGTTTGTTTTCCTAATTGTTGTCATTCATGTGCCTTGTCTAGGGAAAAAAGACGAGGTAGTTTCCCCTTGATTTTCTCGCTACGAGGAAAGCAAAAAGGGAAGCGTCCTCGAGTAAAGCTTCCTCGATACGAGACGTACTAATCAGTAACTCATCAAAAATATTTTCTTTACTAAACAAGTCGTGTTGAAAAATGGTGAAATTCTTTTTCCTTCAGTTTGATAACGCTATCGGTATTTAACTGCTTTCGTTTAACTTGAGTCGGTGAATCAATACATTCTAATTCGTACAAAATGCTCTAATACACAATGTTGTGATACGATGGAAACGTCGCCATTTTTTTCAATTTGGGACAAAGTTTTTTTTTCTTATTGTTTTTATTTCATTGCCAATAAACGCTTTTAAACTTGTCATACCAATTTCATCTTCAACGTTTGTATAAAAGATAAGACAATTGCAGCTTTAAACAATTTCTTTCTTATTTGAAAATGACCATAAACGTCGAAAATTCCAAATGTGAAAGGAAATGTTTAAAGCTGCAATTACCTATCTTTTATACTGAAAATTTTACGCATAACTTCTTACAATATTTGTTCAACGTTTATCTCATCACAACACAATAATAATTTTTCTAGATACAGAATGACAACATGCAATGTTAGACTGTGTCTTGGCTTAATTTCTTCGACATATCACAAAATAATTTAAGCAAATCATTCATCTGCTGTAACAGAGTATTGTTCTTTGTCGCTAAAAATCCCAGTTTCGTAACGAGTAATTTAATTAATTCATCGTGGATATTTTCAACGGATTTTAACATAAAATATACACTGTCAGTCAGTTTCCAAGAGTTATGCGTCGAACGGGAAATATTTTCCGTTCAAGAAAGATGTATTTCCCGATTGGAAAATAAATCCTAATCTTGAAAGCGAAATCTATCCCATTCAGGAAATATTTTGACATCTCTACTTTGAAACCTTTCGCGCATATTCTGGTTGGCTCCATTGAAGACAGCACGAAAAACTGCATTGACTGACGCGATGCCAGATGAATTTTACGCGTTTGTAGAAGGTCTGATATTATAGAAATGTTGGATAAAAGTAGGATCGAAATTCTTCCAATCGGGAAAGACATTTTTGTCATATGTTAGAGCAAAGAAAACGAAAGATGGAAGAAAGAAAAAGAAAAGATTAAGAAAAAGGAAGGATACAGAATTATAAACATGTGTCATCGAGCTCTAAATTTCGCGTAAGGAATATCTACTGAGTGATTAATATATTGAATATAACTAGACCCAGTGTGTATACTCTTTGAAATAAAAAATAAAATAAATTTTCTCAACGTCGAAGATTTTCTTTCTAAATCATTAACACGATATGACTTCAAAATCAAATAAGGCTTCATGCGGTAATGCTGAGCATGTAATTTGGCATGGCACTACTACATATGGTTTGATTTTGTGAAACCTGTATGTCATGGAACTGTCCGCTGGTTTATAAGGGTTTCTCAAGGTTCTCTTTCTTTTTGTCTCTAGAAAGTTTTCTTCAAAACCTTTGGACGTACTTCCAGAAAACCGTTGTTTTTGGACTACATTAGTTGAATTAAAAGTGTTTTAAAAATCATCGTTAGGATATGGAACATTTTAAATAACATATTCGGATTCGGCGTTGAAAGGCGAACATTTTGAAAAAGCATGCAAATTTTTGTGACGAATAATTTTAAAAAAAGTTAAATTTTTTAAATTTTAAATTAAATTGAAAAATTGAAATTTTGAGTTGAAGTCTCGCATGTTTTTTCAAAATGTTCGCCTTTCAACGCCGAATCCGAATATGTTATTTAAGATGTTCCGTATCCTAACGATGATTTTTAAAACACTTTTAATTCAACTAATGTAGTCCAAAAATGGGAGCATATCAAGTCGTCCTGAAAAATTTGCAAGGCCTTCGTATCACGAAAGCCCTGCTTTTTCTGTTCTACAGGCCTTTCATATCGTATTTTGCAGGGCTTTCGTAATCCTAGTATTTATGTAATATCATCTCTCTCAGGCAGATAGTCTATCAGATCTCTAACAGGGCTTTCGTAACGATGTGTATAGTTAATTTTTATGTTAAAAATATAGTCTAATGAAAAGACATTGATGTAAACTTTTTATTCTGTCAGAATACAAGCGGAGAAATATTCTCCATTGTAGTATTATAAACTAAAAACATTATGTAATAGCTGAAACTGAAGAGAAAGATGTTCGAATTATTTATTTATTTCTTTTTTGTTTCTCTATTTCTGTCTGTACTCTGCGCTTGATTGTTGAGCTCTCTTTGGAAAAATTTTTGGAATCAATTTATTGTATAAATAACGAGAGATCGAAAGAGTTTACAACAAAAAAAAACAAATACTGGTTAGAGAACAGGACAAAGAAACTCGGTGATTGATTGACTACAGTTTGTCATCAGGACATCCATTGTGCACGATACTAGAGTGTGAAATGAGATGAAAAAAAAGTGAGAGTGATGATGACAAGTGTGCAGAACTTAGAGTCTACCATAGATTGTGGTAAATGAATGACTCTCTCCTACTTCTATCAGCCACTTCGTTACGAAAACTCTGTTTCTTTATTGTTAGTAGCGACCAACAGGGTGATCTGACTTTGTCCTATTCAATACTCTTTTATTATACACATCATTGCGAAAGCCCTGTTCATACTCTCTAGCTAAATACTAATCTGAATACGAAAGTCCTGCAAAAATGTGTTACAAAATCTCTGTAATTCTGCTGCGAAAGCCCTGTAAAACACGGTACAAAAGGTCTGTTATTGATGCATTTTTAGCGCTTTACGGAAGCCCTGCTTTTCGGCTTACAGGACTTTTGTAACCAATCAGGACGAATCGATATGCGTCCCCAGATACCACGGTTTTCTAGAAGTCCTACTTTCAAAGGTTTTGGAGAAAACTTTCTAGACACAGAACGAAGTGTCTGATTACGATTACGGACACATACGATTAATCGTGCGCTTAATCGCGATTACTTGCCGATTTTTTGGTGATTTTTGCGATTAATCGCAATTAATTGACGATTTTTTTCTAGGTACTAGTGTCGAATCCATCTTAGGAAATACATATTTTTTTCTGTTTTTTCATTGTTTATTACGTATAATGACATGTGCGTCACACAGCAATGGTCTTAGCACCAGCTGGCGTCGGAATCTTGCCGACGAGTCAGCTTTAAACATTGCCCGCATACTGGCTGTTCAGTGGGCTTCTCGGTTTAAAGCTCTGAGGAACAATAGAGAAGACTCTTGACTACTCCGTTGTATTCTAAAATAAAAAGATGATCTGAATATAAGTGTATTTTTCACTGAAATCGTGTTTCTTATATACAAACTTTATTGCAAAAGAAAACGGCAAATAACAACAACCATTTAATCACTTAAAATCAACAATTAATCGCAATTAATTGATGATTTTCGTGATTAATCGCGATGGTTGATAAAGTCATCGATT